GCTTTATACTAAAAGTGGTAACACATACTAAAAGTGGTAGCAACTTTGTTACCACTTTTAGTACAAGTACAAGTTTATTAAGAAAAAAATGACAAAAAACATGATCTTGAATAAGCATAGGTTAAATCATAAATTCGGTATATTGAAAGCTGAAATTTGGTTTATAGGTTAAGGGTTAAGGAAAGCCTTCATATCCAATCTATCTAAATCAATTGAAAGAGAAAAAATAATTATTTCCGTTTGTTATAAAATTACTCAAATCTTCTAATTACTAAACCTTCTGGTTTCTTCAGTACAGCCATTTAAAAGATAATAATTCAATTATAATTATTGTTTCGTTTAAATGGTTTAAAGAAAATCGTTGAAATGACAAATACCGCATGATCGAATAAAAACGGCGTCAACGATGGCTATGAAATGAAGATCGCTGTCATTTTATATGTAAACTAGCGTGTACCAGCGACTTCGTTCGCGTCGAATTAATAATTTATAATGGTGATGATAAAGCAAAGCAAGAATTTCCATTAACATACAAAATGATAAAAATTTTCTCACATTTATGTCAGAATGAGAAAAAACAATATGGCGATATTATTATATAACTTGGTAATATTTGAGAGGTAGTTTCATCTCGTTGGAATTTGACTTTCGAAAAATCCGTTTGCCAAAAATAAGCTTTTTACGTCAAGCAGTTTAAGCAGAATCGTGGTTAAGAAATTACCCAACTTTTTGGAACACCCTGTATGATTTTTTAAAAAATTTCAAAATATGTAAAAAAAACAAATAAATTATGCTTGTCCAAGCGTTTTCCCGAAAGACAAACCGTTTTTTAAATAACAAATATTGTAATATTTGCGGGGCGTTTTCACCCTCTTGGAATTTGCGATTCGAGAAACCCCTCCTTATCGAACCTCTACATCCCACAGTCAATCCGTTTGCCAAAAATCAGCTTTAAACGTCAAGCAGTTTAAGCAGAATCGTGATTACTCAATGGTCATATTTTGTGAAACACCCTGTATAAATTTATAAAAAATCTTAAAATATGTAAAACAACAAAATAAAATATACGTGTTTAAGAGATATTCCGAAAAACTCTCCGGTTTTTAAATAAAAAATATTTTAATATTTGAGGGATAGTTTCACTCCCTTAGAATTGGAGTTTCGAAAAATCCCTTCTTATCGCACCTCTACACCCTAAAGTCAATCTGTTTTCCAAAAATCAGCTTTTTACGTCAAGCGCTTTAAGCAGGATCGTGATTAATCAATGACCAGATATTTCGAAACACCATGTATACATTTTTAAAAAATCTTAAAATATGTAAAAAAAAACAAAATAAAATATACGTCTTTAAGCGTTTTTTCGGAAACTTGACCGTTTTTTAAATAAAAAATATTGTAATATTTGAGGGATGGTTTCACCCTCTTGGAACTGGAATTTCGAAAAACCCCTTCTTATCGAACCTCTACACCCTAGAATCAATCTGTATGCCAAAATTGAGCTTCTTACGTTGAGTGGTTTGAGCAGGATCGTGATTAATCAGTATGTCAGTCACTTATGGATTTTATATATTGGTATAGATTTATGTGGGAAATGTCATCGATCGTCATTTCCCAGCCAACTGGACGCCGTTTTTTTTCGATCATACGGTATTTTATCAATTAAAGTTTACGGGCTAAATTTCTAAAATTGTCATGGTAACGAAATTCTTGAAACGAAACTATAATAATAGAATCATTAATTTTTAAATAGCTCTACTACTAAGAAACCGGAAGATTTCGGTATAGGAACATGATATATCGTTGAAAAGCAATTACTCTTTTCATTTTTTGAATAATATTCATAGGGTTGAATTTAAAATAACAAAGATTTGAGTAATTTTATAACAAACGGAAATAAATAATACTTTTGCTCTCTCTCTGTGTAATATCCAATTGGTTTATTTAGACAGATCGAATATATCGACTTCACTTAACTTATAACCCAAATTTCAACTTTAAAAATGTAATTCATGATTTTACCAATGCTTATTCACGATCATGTTTCTATCAATTTTACACGCATGTTTTATTTTTATCTTAAAAACTATTAGAGATAGGTATAGGTTAGTATAACAGAAAAATTGAGATATAAAAGCAGTTTCCAAAAATGTAATAATATACCGAGTGTTCCATTTAAAATAACAAAGATGCTATCACTTTTAGTACGAAGCGGCAACACTGAAATGCTGAAAATAATTTAGACAGATGGAGAAGGAGCCTTTACAGCGCTTTCAGATGGAACGACCGGAGTGTTTCATTTAAAATAATTAAGATAATACCACTTTTCGAATGATGCGGCAACACTGTAATGCTAAAAATATTTTAGAAAAATGTAGCAAGCTATGGTAGCAAGTGCCTTTATATAAAAATCCAAATTTTCAAAAAAAATAAACGGTTCTCCATAAACATCTAAAGTGATATCGCCGTGAATCACCCTATATATCTGTAATAATAACTATAGCTGTAGACAAAACAAAATTGACAACACTGCCTCCATAAACAATAACCAAGTATTTGTAAATGAAATGAGTTTACCATGGGTAGAGATAAGATAACATGACTAATTTAATCTTTAGTAGATCAAAGACTAGGCCTGCTTATTGGGCGTGAATTTTTATTTTATGTGTTCTATAGAAAAAGTTATGATTTTCAGCGGTAAATGTTCGTAATTCGGTACCCAAAAAAAGGAACATATAGATGTACAGCAAAAAAGAACACCTACACATATATGTAACTGACATATGATTAAATATCAGGTATAGATTCACATTTATTTTTAACAGAAGTCATTTGTAATTTTAATTAAACCAGCCAATAATATATTTTCACCTTTCTTGTTAAAATGTGTAAACCAAACCAAACCAAACCAAACCAAAACATAAAGTTAAAAAGATCAATAATTAATTGATTTAGAAAAATTTCTGATTTTAATTTTTTTTCTCAGAAAGCGATAAAATTTTAAACGACTGGCAACGTGGCCTCTGGAAACTTTTCCACAATTTTTAAGTTTCCACATAATGAAAATTGTGTATAGTCTGTCCTATACGAGAGAATGCTTGACAGGGGCAGTTGTCTGTCGTTTTGATGCACAATTAAATTGTTTTTCTATTATTTTTTGTTGTCATCTGTTGAAATTTTCCCTGACTTGTTGGACAGACTTTACCTAAAAATTAGATGGTTCTTACCAATGGCAATTAGAGGGACTATACAGGGTGGTACAAATTCGAGGTAGGAGCATTGGTATCTCGGTAACCGTAATAGATAGAAATATGGTTAAATTGGGGCAAAGTTGCGCTTTGTTGCGCAGATGTTCACCAAGATGCCATCAAAAAAGTTTTAAAAATTTCAAGGATTGCTGAGTTTTTTGGAAAAAACGGATTTTTCTGAAAATCAATTTTATTTTTTCCTGTCGCTACTTTTTAGAAAATCAAAAAACTAATTGCACTTTCCAATAGCCACTTTATTAAGGCTATCTGATAGTATTTTTATATTTTCAGGTTAGCTGCTAATTTGTGAGAAACAGAGGCCAATTTAATTTTTTTAAATACGGACCTGCATTTTTTATTTCAGGTTTTGAAAGAACTCAGTCTCCTGAGTACAATGATATGCCACACTTTATACTTTTTTTTTGCTTTGCGTACCTTAACAACAACAAAACTATTTAATTATTATTTAAATTAGTTTCAGGTCCGACTCTGGTTTTTTAAATTATTTAAGTTAATTATCTGATTTGGAAGATTCAAAAAATAATATCCAGGTCAGCAATTTAAAGATTTTTAACTTTTTTTATTGTGAATTTGAAATTTCAGTGTGCAATCTAATAATATGTATAATATTAATCGTAGTTATTATAAATAAAACAACTTCTACAAACTAGTTTCTAATGCTCTACATGTTCGAAAGGGTTACCACCCTTCCTATCGCAGAAATTTATTTTTCGTTCAATTTTAAATATAGGTTTTTGTACTTTCTTCTTATACTTCCGAATGCATTTTGTTTGTACTTTTTATTGTAAATGTGGAGATGTATTGATTTCACTTTTACAAATGACGTCAAGTAATGTCCCATACCAGCCTTGGCGACAGGTCCAGGAACCTCGCTGGCCATTATACCATTTATACTGCCCTACCATTTCCAATCCATCTTCCGGGGAAATGATTTGATTGTTTATATTATATTATATTATATTCTTTAATTTATATTATTTTTTACACTTGATTTTCCGTATTCAATGTTTTACCCCACGTCATTGTTAAGTTTTATAGCTTATGAATAAAAAAATAGAGCCGGACGTGAAATTAGTTTGAATACATTGTGTTCAAATGTCCGAAACAAAAAAATATTAAGTGTGGCATATCATTGTACTCAGGAGACCGAGTTCTTTCAAAACCTGAAATAAAAAATGCAGGTCCGTATTTAAAATAATTAAGTTGGCCTCTGTATATCACAAATTACCAACCAATTTGAAAATCTAAAAATACTATCAGATAGCCCTAATAAAGTGGCTATGAGAATGTGCAATTAATTTTTTGATTTTCTAAAAAGTAACGCCAGGAAAAAATAAAAATGAATTTAAAAAAAAAAGAGTTTTTTTTCAAATATGTAACTCAGTAAGCCATGAAATTTTTTGAATTTTTTTGATGAAATCTTGGTAAACATCTCAAGGCGCAACTTTGCCCCAATTTAACCATCTTCGTATCTATTACGGTTTCCGAGATACCAATGCTCGTACGTCGAATTTGTAGAACCCTGTATTATTATTTTTATAAATCTATTTAAACCTAAATACTTTTTCAGTGAGTAGTTGGTATATCTTTAATTTTTTTTCTTTAAATATGCAAAATCCCGTAGCCAAATATATAACAACAACGCCATAATGATCTAATTAGATTTAAAAATATTTCCATAAGTAATTAGCACATATTGCAGCTTATACAAAACGTTTCGAATATTTTTTGAAGGTCTGCAGCCAATAGATAGGTGTAAAACTAAACAAATTGTGCTTCTTGTTGAAGAAAATAACGAAAGAGTGTTGAACAATGGAAGAAAGAGTTGAAAGAACTCCTGAACATGACGGCGATATGATTATAGACAACGTTTTGACGACTCAACCAGAGTTGGGCCCAACAATACCTGATGGTGGATATGGATGGGTAGTTTTCCTAGCATCTCTATTTTTTCAAGTAAGTAATGAACTCTTTCTTCTTAAAATAAGTTTTTCTGTAAACTAATAATGCCCTGCTACTAAAAAGCGGTATACCCTGTATATTAAAAATTAAAATTAATTTTCGGCGTAATATTCGATACTTATAGATATGTCCTGCGAGAGAATATGATTTCAAGACACGGCATTCAAGAAAAAAAAGAAAAAAGACAGGGTCTGGCAATAGTGCGTCGAGCATCTGTAGCTCCTAGAATAGAAAACTTGGAAATTTTGTTTAAGTGCAAACCTAAAGTATGTACTACGATGTATTTCAGGAAATAATTTTAACTTCTATAAGGTGGCTCAAAAAACAACAAAACTATTTGTGTGGATGGATCAGAATGATTTTTTTAAATGGAACACCCTGTAAATCATTGCATTTTGGCTTCATTTCAGATCACTTTACATAATCCTAAGATATTAGTAAATATGTTTAGATAGTTTGAGAGATATTAATAAATAAATAAAAAATATAATATTTTTCAGCTTTTCTTAAAAAAAATATTAAAAATACAAGAACTGTCCTGAAATCAAAATTATATTAGATATTTACTTTAGATGGTCTGTACTTACTTTGCTATAAATACGGTAATCGTAAATCATACAGGATGTTCAAAATTCTACGCCAAACTTTCTAAAATATAAAATAAATTTTCTTAGTTTTTTCAAATCAACACCCTGTAAATTATCTTTCAATAGATAGAGAATTAAAAAATTAACATTTTTTGTATTTAAAGTATTTCAAAATTTTTAACGGTTTCGCAGATATTCGCTGTTTTATATTTCAAATGGCATTATCCAGATCCACAGTAAATTTTTATCAAAGCCACCTAATGATTTTTCTCTCGTATTTTACCGTTGGAAGAGCCATATGATATAATACTGCGTGTATCTACAAAACCATTAAAAATTTTGAAATACATAATGTACTTTAAATACAAAAAATGTTCATTTTTTAACTCTCCATCTAATAAAAAAATAATACACAGGGTGTTCCATTTAAAAAAATAAAGAAAAATTATTTTATATTTTAGAACGTTTGGCGTAGAATTTTGAACATAACACAACATACAAACAAACACCGTGTATGATTTAAGACTACGATATTTATAGCAAAGTAAGTATAGACCATCTAAAGCAAATCCTAATATTGTTTTGAATTCAGGACAGTTCTTGTATTTGTAATATTTTTTTAAGGAAGGTTGAAACACATTATTTTATCTCTGAAATTACCGAAATATGTTTACTCATATTTTAGGATTATGTAAAGTGTAATGTTAAAAAAAATCATCCCGATCTACTCACACTTTTTTAAGCCACCCTATAGAAGTTAAAATATTTCCCTGAAATATATCCTCGTACATACTTTTAGGTTTGTACTTAAATAAAATTCTTAAGTTTATTATTCTAGGAGCTACATATGCCCGACGCACTATTGCCGATTGCCGGACCCTGTATATTTGAAATAAAAAGCCAAACTACAGATTTCACTTTAAAATATAATAGCACCTTAAAATATTCATGTATTTTAAACTTTAATATATTTTGTTCTAGTCGGCCGATTTTGATGATTTCTTAAGCAATTTGTAGCTAAATTATTTGACTTTTTAGTATTTCCTACTAAATGAAACGTTCTATCTGTCAATTATACGATGAAAAACAAAGTGTTGATATTTTGGTGAAAGTTTCAAACACTCTGTGGAATATGTTAAAAATGCAAGGAATTTAAAAAATCGTTGCATCATCTAGTTACGCCTTTTCCCGATAGTTTACTTTTTGATTCATCTCAGAAGCTTTATTTTTATTGGAGATATTCGTTTTTGAATAAGATAGTAACGATTTACAATAATTTTAACATTGATTTTGGGTCCTCATCAACACAATTATAAAATAGTGTTTATTGTTTTTGTAATGTCACTGTCATTGAAAAGTCATATTATTATTGTTTATTAACGTTTACTCATAGATAAAAGAAAATAATCTACTCGTTTACTTTAGTAGAGATAGTTTTAAGTTGGTTTTAAGTTCTGCGCAGTATCGGCTATTGCTGCTTTAATTGATCATGGTAGAGAGCAACTTTTGGACTTAAAACCATATCTGCTCGAGTAACTAACAGACAAGAATATTATGATTTTTCAAAGACAGTGACATTAAATAACTCATAAACACTATTTTCTCTAAGTCTGCTGACTAAAAGCCCCATACTCACACTTCGCTCCTTCCTCTGCTTACTTCCTCGCGTTACTTCCTCGCGTTCCTTCGTCCCTTCGTTTCCTTCCTTCGCCTATTCGATGCTTGGAAATTAGTCAATTATGCAACAACACACCACAAAATATTTTTAATATAGCAGCTACATGTTTAATACGAAATATCTAGTAACCTCTAAAATTTTTAAAAAATCCGAAAGGCGCATAATTTTTATTTTATAAAACTGCAATTCTTTGTCGTGTCAAAAATAAAAATTGAATTTTAATAATATATATTTTTTTTAATAAATCCGAATATTTCAGTATCATGTACAAGGTATATCAGTATGAATGTACAAGGCGAGTCAACAATAGAGTAAAGTTTATTATGTAATTTATATCCAAACCATGAAATATGACATACTAATTAAACGTTAATGATGTCAATCCCTATTTCTTCAGATATTTTTGTAAAGGCATCATGCACACTATTTCTATTTTTTTATTTTTGTCGCTACGATTACATAAATATGGACATGCCTTTTTTTGACAAATATGAAGACAATATTGTTTTTTTCTTCCATTTTTTAGACTATTGTGTGTGAATTATTTTTATATCGACTGACGATTGCTAGATGTACAGGATGTCCCATTTTTGTGTGTTTTATGGGGTTTCTGGTTTATGAGTACAGATATAAAGATGCTGTTTTCACATCATTGTTCTACTTATTATGAAACTAAATATGCTACACACGTATTTATTCTAGCCTTCTTAGTTCAAAGTTATTTCTTATTTTTTTCTTTTACTTTTTATTTTTTAATTAGTAGAAATTTTTGCATTTTTCGATAACTTTGTATCTCGATTATCTTATAACTTATCAAAAAGGTGAAAAGGGTCAGTGGTGGGCTGTGGGTAAGCACCCAATTTGTAGATAAATAAAATTTCGGTATATATGTATATACCTGTAGATTTAGATGAACATCCTAATTTTAATAAAAGGAGTTTCCGACAACCGCATAGTAAATACCCGGTATAATACCGGGAATAGAAATATACCAATATATAATATCTACTATATAAGAAATATTGTAGATATACAGTTTGACAAATATAGGAAGAGACTTGGGGATAGCACCGGTCGCGCACACGATAGAGAGAGAACGCATTCGGCGGAAGAGAGATGCAGTTACGCTACGAAAAATCTGATCAAAGCAAATTTGTGTGCTGTCCACTGCCCATCGAGGGGCGTCTCTTATTTTATATTTCTCACGTCTCTAGCTATACTTGTTAAGTTGTACTCGTATTCCTGATATTACTGGTATTATACCGGGTATTTACTATGCGGTCGTTGGAAATACCTTTTATAAAATTAGACTGTTCATCTAAATGTACAGGTATATACCGGATACCCTGATTTTGTTTTGTTCTACCTATTGAGTACTTACCCACCGCCCGTGTCTCGTTTTTCAGGTAGAATGGCAGTGACGAAAGTGGTTCTTCGTTTGGAGCTGTCTATTTCGAAAAATGACGCAAACTTATGTTCTTTTTTTTAAACAGGACACTCTATATATTATTTTTTATTTTATTTGCCTTGTTATGAGCTTTCGAAAATTATAATATACTCTATATTTATTTATTTAGGTACTGCTAAACTGCTAAACGGCCCTTATTTTATAAGAGCCGTTTATTTAACTTAATTTTACCAGATAATTTTGCTTTGCATCGTGATATTTTGATAAACTACACGGAAACTGAACTTGGGCTGCTTTTAAATAACATGCCAATAACCAACATTTTACGTCGAATAAATTAGTTGATTGTTTTGATTACATAATTTAAACCGGCCGACTATGTAATAAAGTTAAATAATGCATTTTTACCCCGTTTATGAAAAATAAGTATTTTTAGAAAGCTCGTAACAAGGAAAATAAAATAATATACAAAATATCGTATTTAAAAAAACATATAAGTTTTAGTCAATTTAAAAAAAGACAGATTCTAACGAAGAAATAGTTACGTCACTGCATTCTACTTGAAAAACTGTACGAGAGACCGTTTTCACCTTTTCGATAAGTTAGGGTACAAAAGGGATCGAAAAATGCAATAATTTCACATTCGCCCTGTATTTTAGGAAGTAAGAGAGCTAGGACATATCTGCATATATAGCATCTTTAGTTTCATAAAAAAGTAACAGCGTAATGTGAAAACCGCATCTTTGTATCTCGACTCATAAACGAGAAACCCTGCAAAACACACGAAAATGGGACACCCTGTACAGACGTACTGCCAAATCAAGAAATCAACTACGAATGAAATCCAAGATCGATTTATATATTTTATATATTTTAATATTTTTTTATGTTCGTGATAATTCCTTTGCTACTTCCTCCAAAAACCGACAGTACGTGGAAGGAGCGTTTCGAGGAAGTAAACGGACGAAGTAGCGTTTTGACGAAGGAGGAAGGAACACACAGTCGCATAAAATCGACATTTTCCCATAGTAAATATATGATTTTTGGACGAAGGGACGTGAGGAAGGAACGAAGTGAAGTAGCGAAGTGTGAGTATGGGGCTTAAGACCAAAAGCAAAGTCATGGCTTTAAAGTAAAAAAAACGAAAAAATGTTAAGTGTCTCCTTTAAAAGCGAATATCTCCAAAAAAATGCTATTGAGATGAATCAAAAACCAAACTATCGAGAAAAGACACACAAAGCCCCATACTCATACTTCGCTCCTTCCTCGCGTTACTTCCTCGCGTCCCTTCGTTCAAAAATCATATATTTACTATGGGAAA